CCCCTGTTGAAAACCAGGGTTTAAGGCATGGTTACAAAAGTTAGGATCTTGACTTGTTTGACTTACAAAACTCTTGCAGATTCCCTTTAATTTACCACCAAGCATTTAAGGCAAGAGTGAGAAGTTGATCATGGAAGAAATTGAGAAAATGAGTTCACTGCCTCACCACTACAAGCGTTAAGCCACAGATAATTACATGGATTTTTCTCTGTCTTAAACTGAATTTCCCAGTTGGCTCTATGCCCAGGAGTCACTTTGGGCCTGACCCGTGCTATTAACCCAGCGTGTTGCCTCTCTGGGTAATGACAGCAGGTGAAATGAGCCAATTTTGTTTTGGTTGGCAGAGACACTGGTTTATCATATGTTTTGGCGCACAGCTCATCATCACATCTTCGTTTTTAGCTTTAAAAAGAAGCCCAAGTTGCTCAGTACTGTACAGTAAGTAATTTAATTTTTAAATTGTTTTGAACAGATTTTGACTTTTCTCCTGCAGCCTGCCAGTGACAAAGGGATGTCAGAAAGTGTCTAAATTGTTCCTTCTTTCATCTCAACACTTCAAAAAAACACTAATTCTCATTATAAAGCCCTGCTGGATGCTCTACATCTGGTAAATTGTCTTTCGACTAAACAACAAAAATTGATTGGCCATTGAGTTAACAGTATTGTTAGCCAAACAAAAGCAATAAGCCTGTCACAGAGCATTCTCACAGCAGCACTCATCAGAGACATTTTTTTCAGTACATGTACTCATATCATTTCACATTGGCTTTCCAAGTAAGCACAGTGTGCCAGCATCACTCAAGATGGAAAATCAAAGCAAATGACCAACTGAACACATTTCAGCGTTTATGGTGAATTATAGTCTGACAAGGAGCTTTGTTGAAGGAGGTAGGGTATTTTTTTCTATTCTTGTATATTAGAAGGGAAGCTCACTGGCGCACAGCTGCTCTTAATAACCATCATTAGTGCCAACCAAATGACATGCGTTGTGATTCTAGACTTGCAGCTCACCCTTCATCCATTCACTTCCTTATGATTCTTAAAACTAGTGCAGTGCCTGTTCAAAATGTGCCTTTTCATAACGGGCCGATTGCTTGGCCTCCGGTATTGCTGCTTACAGCTTTGTCCAGAAACTCTCATCCAAACAACTTCACAATCCACAATGCATTTCCTTGGGTGCTGAACAATGCACCTACCATGACATAGTTGCATCCCTAGCAGTGCTAGAGTATACACATCATTTGGGTGCAAAAGCTCACATGAACATTTTATGGCGTCATTGAATTCAAAGCCTGAATATTTCTGGGAAGAAAAGTTTTCACTCTGTAGGTTACATTGCTGATGCTTGAAATGTTTGAGTTTGCGGCACTGTAAAAGCTCTGGTCTCTCTTCCGTCATCTGTTTAATGTAGTGTAGCTAGCCGTTCAGCAGTGTAACAGTTACAAGGAGTCCCCTCTCAGTACACTGTGCAATACACTTCTGGCAGGAGTAATACACTATAAACATGTCCTGTGGATCCCAGGAGCCTGCACTTGACAGTGCACTTCCTTCGGTCTTCAGCAACACATATACCAAGTGTAAGTCAAAAGTTGAAGGACAGACATACATACATACAGGCAGCCAGACACTTCCTCTGTTGTAGTTAGGTAGGCCTAGCTGTCAGTATCTTAAGAGAGAGAGTTCAGTATGTGAAGAAGCTGCTGCCACAGGGAAAGGTCGAGTGTGTAGGATATAGGGGGATATATTGGCTGAAATGGAATATAATTTAATAAATAAATATGTTTTCTTTAGTGTACAATGACCTGAAATTACAAATGGTCATGTTTTTGTTACCTTGGAATCAGTTTATATCTACATAGGGAGCAGGTCTGTCTACGGAGATCGGCATGTTGCACTGCCATGTGCTTGCAGTAGTTCAAAATGGATAAGCCAGTCCTTAGAGAGGACCATTCTCATTTTTGCGCCAGCCACTGTAGTTAGCAGCCCCTCTGTGTGAAAAGAGCCTTGGGAAAAAAACACATTTCTTGTGTGAAACTACATGCCTGCCATGACATGCCAAACAGTATCTATTACTGATTTGTAATGTAAATCTGCTTATTCAGTGTTTTTACTGGTTCAAATCACCTCGTCTGTTTGTTTTAGAGAGGAAGAGACCTCTGCGGATAATTTGGTTCCTTGTAAAACCTCCTGAACAATGAACATTGAAGGAATCCTAACCGGGAGACGTTTCAGGCTTCAGCTGATTGCAATCAGCAAATCCCCCTAAATATTACACTCTGGACCTTTGAAGTTTGTTGTAATCTTTCTTAGCTCTATGGAGCACTTTTCCTTTGAGTGGTTCCATGTTTTGTTTATCTCGAACAGTCTTACCAATGGTGTCACACTATTCTGGTGATCAAAAGGTGGCTGTAACACACCAAGAAATGCTGCAGTGTGTCGGGAAAGTCAGGGAAGAAGCAAGACTGCAAGCACTAAACATGGATTTAAAGAATTCTGGATTTAAATGCCATACTATACTTAAATAAGTTTAAGTTTAAAAGTTTTAAGTTTATTTACTTTATTAATCCCCCTGAGGGGAAATTCAATGCAATTCAATTCAATGCAAATGTTCTATGATAAAGGAAATTCTCTTGATACATAAGGCCTCAAGGATACACACAGTGCATTTTGGTGAGTAACACTGAATGTGAACATAACTTTTGTTGGTTTGGAAAACTCAACAAAAGGAAAAGAATAGCTTATTAAATGTATGTGTTATTCTTTTTTGGCAACATGGTTTTAGGAATGGCAGTGCAGGTCAGTTGGTCGTTCCACCACTTGGTTCAGACTACAGTATCTCAACAAGTACCAGATGCTTTGCCACAAAAGTTTGTGGTTCCCAATGTGTTCTTATGACTTAGATGATTGCATTTTTTCTGAAGTGCTATCAGGAGTTTACTTTTGATCTGACTTGAGTGAAATGTTTGGACAGCTATGACATAGATTGCCATGGAACTGTAGGAAACAGTCAGTTCTGCATGAATATTGGTATTATGACTGTGTGGCTCTTTTGCAGAGTTGGACTTGGGGAAATACCCAATTATTTTCAACATTTCCCAATGGATATTGTTGCACAGCAGACAGTGTGTCAGTCGTTCACATTGAAGCTTTGCAGATAGATAGACACAGCTTAGACTGCGTGCCATTCCTTTTTTTCTAAGGCTTCTTTCATCATTCATTCATCAGTTCAAAAAAAGTCTTCCTGCATGTGGAAAATGATACTATCTGCTAACTTGTAGGGTGTTTCACTGCTGTAGACACAATACAGTCTGGCCCCAGTGCCAGTGTTGGCCATGAAAAAATAAATAAACCAAACAACATTCATGAATGTCCATATTTTTTTTCCTCAGCCATCTTCACAGAACCATTTTGGAGGCTTTACTTGGTAAATATTCCAACCACAGCCATGGAATGTAATCAATGAGAGCATCTGAAACCTCCCACTCTCCATCTTTCTGCTTAATAATTCAACAACAAGCGTAGCCTCTGTGGGCATTCACTGTTAAAGGGGAGCGTGTGACCTCCAGCACAGCAGCAGGTGGTATACTGCAAGGGGTTGCAGTGTGCAGAAATTGATGTTAACTGTTCTGCTCTCTAGTGTCTATTTACGGTGGGCTTTTGGCAGGCTTCAAGCATATTTAAAACAACATTACACACATTGATCTATAGTCACAATTGAGTTAGTCTTGGAAAAATATGACAAAGAGAAGGTGGTGTTTGATCGTTTCAGTGATTTCACATGCTGGATACCAGCTGGTTTGGATGGATGGATGGATGGATGGATGGATGGATAGATGGGTGGATGGATGGACAGTACTTTATGAATCAGTTTAAATTTCACTATTACAGCAGCGTTAAGCAAAAAAAGCCCAAAGATAAAGGGCAAAACATTAAAAATAAAAAATCATTTTTCTCTTTTTTTTCATGTAAACCTATCCACGGTGGGAAAGTTCCTCATTATGTTGCTATGTAAAGTCAGTTAAGACTTGAAATAAAAACTCAAACAGTAAACCCAACTAGCATATTTGGTCATTATCATTATTTTTAGCTAAACTGTCACCCACAAAAGCAGCAATTGCTTACAAATGACTGCCACCATTAAAGCTATAATAACTTCATAACACACTTAAGTGTCTTTATTAATTACTGTCATAGTACTCAAGTCAAGGGTAAACAACTGACACTGACCCAGTTATACAGGCAATCTAATAGAAGTTGTCACATTGTTGATAGTGTCAAAAGCCACATGTGGGAGCACAGAGAGCTGCAATATCAAGGCTATTCTAATTTTAGATAGTCAACACATGCAAATGAGTCCAGCCAAAGATTTTTTAGACAGCAGACAATTCTATTTTCATATCAGGAAAGGTACAGGTGGAACTAAGAGCACTGATACTGTCTTCAGTCCAATTAAGTGTCTCAGTATTGAGCCAGCATGGAACTATCTGACACGTGCTTTGTTTATGTTATTTACTACACCTATGTTTGACAAGACAGAATGTCACTTATGACAAAGTATGCCAAACAGGCAGTTATTTCGAAAGAAGTAGACAAATTACAAGAGCTGGATTACATAGACTGCAAAGAGATCAGTATATGAACAAAGTTTAAATACTGTATGTCCCATCCTAATCCAACATGTCCGACATGTTTTGTTTTGTTTTTAAGGGAGATAAAATGCAGAAAATATAATTTTTTCTCTTTTCTTTTGCTTGCTGCTTGAAATAATCAATTAAATTGAGTCTATTGGGAAAATTTTGTTGTGTTTGCTGTCTATAGTGGTCCAATTTTGTGATTTAGTTCAAGAGGACAGGCTGTTTTTCACAGAAAACAAAAACGTCTCCAAGTGCACCAGGAGTCCACCCAGATTAATTTCACATCAGCTGCAAATTAATTTATCATGTCAAGATGGCAGGGGAGTAATCCCATTTGTTAAATGGCCTGTTGGATCTCTGTTTTAGATTAAGATGTCTGGTGAAGCAACTGGAGAGAGGAGAGGCTTCCCTCAGTGACCTCAAGAAAAACCTTGAGTATGCAGCGTCGGTGCTGGAATCCGTTTACATTGAGGAGACGAGGTAAGAAAACAATAGCTGCTGAACAAGTATTGACATGGTTCATTTATTGAGAACAACAGTGCAGCTCTGACAAAGGCCAGGCTTTAGAAAATGGATGACTGTCATTAGTATGGCAATTGACCTGTGCTGTAATTGTTAGTCTCATTTTAACCATTTTGTGTCTTTGCTTGGTTACAGAATGTCATACCTTTGTAATGAAAAATAGACTAAATGTAAATTTGTAACAGGGACATTCCAAAACCTACCCTAATTTTAAAATGCTTATGAAGCAGACTAATTACAAGGGTAAATTTTGGAATTGTACATTTCTGAATACCACAGTTTTGGTGGCACCATCACCACTGGAATTGCCGCCATTTTGTTGTTTGTTGGAGTCAGACAGAAGCAACAGTGGCCTGCAGTGATCAGCAGCTTCGTAGCCACCATCTCATCAAACCATCAAAATTAGCTCCTATATATGTAATTAGAACTATGTCACTTCAGAAACATTGGTATGAAACATACAAAATGTAACGTATCCATGGTTTGAAGAAACCTACAATGCCACCCATTTGCCTTTACATCTTCTGGTGACTGTATTAAGTACATTTGCCGAAGTACTGTACTTATCACTTCCTTTCAGAGGTAAATATTGTACTTTTTAAACTACAACATTTATTCAACAGCTATAGTTACTAGTTACCTTTTAGATAAAGTATGCATTGTAATAGATTAAACTATCCAGTAGCATATAAAGCAGTTAAAGGTCCAGTGTGAAGGATTTAAGGGCATCTATTGGCAGATATGGTAGTCTATATAATATCCATAAGTATGCTTTCAGTAGTTTACAATCACCTGAAACTAAGAATTGTCTTTTAGTTATCTTAGAATGAGCCATTTATATCTACATACAGTATGGGGTCTCTCTGAATTAAGGGTTAATTTCAACCAAACCAGGCGGTTTTTGTGAGTTATTTTGTTTCTGTCGACTTTGAAACAAGCGTGTTTTATGATGATAAAATTACTGTGGCAATACATTGACTATGGATAGGTACCCCATACAACCCCACTTCAAAAAATTCAAACTATCCCTGTACCTAAATACTTCTTCCACCCCTGAGTGTGATATTTATGTGGCAATTGAGAGTAGATAGTATTTATAGTCAACAACTTCTCATCCCTAAACGACAAAATAACAAAACTTAAGTGTGTTCTGATCTGCCATCTCCCTATAATTTGGTTTAAACAGAAAGTACGTAGTTAAGGTCATTGAGAGATTGTTGCTACGTCAAAGAATTGTTAAGTTAGGGAATACACAAGGTCAATGTATGGCAATAGCGTAATGCAGGTCCAGAATCCGAGATATGACCAGGCTTATGGAATTATGTAAGCCTCTCGTCATCTAGATCCTACCAGATTAGGGCCAGCGGTGGCACGACCACTCCAGGATGGAGGATGATGACCTATCCAGTGCAGAATTTATGTAGCACCATGATTATCAGCAAGATGTGAATGCTTTCTCTTTGCCATAAGAACATGTATTCAGTTCAGAGGGTGGAGACCAACAGGCTTTGCTCTTGATCCCCTGTACATGTCAACACAACAGGGTAGCTGTGGAGAATTATGCCACACAATTGGATTTGAATACTCCCTGTCATGGTGTTTCAAGAGGCCTGGGATGTTTTGATGTTACATAAGAGGTGTTATTATTTGATGGACAGCACTAGGATTTTCAGTTTGATCCTCTGTGAAAGTAGAGCTGCGATAAATGCTGAATATTTTAGTAAGCCCTTAGTGTCTCGGCATCTGTCTGTTTTTTCTCCCTTTGTTTCTTTTCTATGTGTTTCTGTCTTTTACCCAACATCCGTGCTTTCTTTCAGGCGTTTGGTGGACACAGAGGATGAGCTCAGTGACATCCAGTCAGAGTCAGTGCCCTCAGAGGTGCGGGATTGGCTGGCCTCCACCTTCACCCGACAGATGGGCCTGATGCTGCGGCGCAATGAGGAGAAACCTCGCTTCCGCAGCATTGTCCATGCAGTCCAGGCTGGAATATTTGTTGAGAGGTAAACGTGTGTGTAATGCACAAGCACACAGCCACACTCACATATTGGCAAGTAGTCATCAATGTTAAATAATTAATATGGACTGTCACCTTTATCTTTCCACTACTGAGGCTGCCCATCTATCATTGTTCAGGTGTAGCCCAGACTGACTTAAAGTAATTATATCAATCATCATCTTCAGTTTAGTCTTGAATAATGAACAGACAACCACATTGTTCTTACACTTTTCAGCACCTTTTCTGCACGTACGCTTTACTGACATTTTGAAAAGCATTGTGTTTTAGAGTTTTGAAATTAGATTTTCTAACCTCTCAGGCAGAAATTGTGTTGAGTTCATTTGATATAAAAGTGTATATGTAGAGACTTAAAACTTGCTTTTTGTAGGTAATCAAGCACAGTGAGCAAAATCCCTTTTTATTTACTATATGCTGTAGCACTGCCACAAATAGTTGATTAATCAATAAGTCAATCAAGAAAATGAATGTGTTTATGTTTTTAGGATTTGGTGCTTTTCTTGGTTTAATACTAATGTGAGTACTTTTGAGTTTTTGACTGTAGGTTGAACAAAACAAGATATTTAATGACACCATATACTCGAGGATATTGTGATGGACATTTTCACTTCTGCCTCCGCACCAGCAATAGCCGTGGCCGGAGGCATTGTGTGGGTTGTCCGTCCCAATCTCAAGAATGCCTTGAGGGAATTTCTTTGTCCACTTGGACTCAACTATGAACTGACTAGATTTTGGTGGTCAAAGCTATTGCTTCAAAAACAAAGGATTCATTTGCTTATTATAACCAAATTTCACACAAATGTCTAACAGGATATAGTGATGACATTTTGTACCAAAGAGGTCAAAGGTCAGCTCCACCGTGACATCATCATGTTCTGCAAAAATCAATTTTCTCACCATTACTCAACGTCATAACTCAGGAGCAGCAGGGGAGACATTTGGTCAGATACCGAATTGGTGACACTAATCTTGGGTGTTGTTCTTGAAGCTGTGCTGATTGTACAGATCGTCTGTACTGCTGCGTTGAAGATGTGTGCGAAGCATCCACATTTTAGAATATATAGCTTCTTTGCATCCATATTGGTAGTACTGTCAACTGTCATGGCTACATATGAGTCTGGACAGACATGGATGTAAACTAGTTTGTGGAGTCATACAATGGCCAGGCGATATTTCTAGTTTCTGACTCCAAAACCAAACAATCACAATAACAAGCAGATTCATAAATAATGAAATTAACTTTTAGTTACAGCCCGAATACAGTTCACTTTATTTACTGTGCAGTATTTTATTTAAGTGTCTAAATTAGGGCTGGTAATATGGAGAAAAATCAATGCTTTTGACTGAAGACCTCTACAGTACATCAATATTGCGACATATTGTTGGATCGATTATTGGTGCTTTTACAAAATATTCACTTAATAAGATTTTCAATAGACATCAGTCATATAGATATAATGACTAAGTGGGTAAAGCAAATATTAAAACAGCCAGTTTGCTGTAATGCAGCCTTTAAAACCAGAGATTTTGAATACGGAGGCTCGTGTATGCCTTCAAAATCTTGTGGACAGGTGTGCAGGAGGAAAAACAGGTAAGAGAGGAGAATTCTTGCACTCTGTCCTATTAATGTGCGGGAATTTTCTTATCTAGCCTTTATAACCAGTCTGTATTGCCCAGCCCTAGCAGGTATACTCTACCTAATGTCCACAGTGGAACAACAACAAAGTAGTGATTGTGGCATGCGCACTACTTTCTGCTGACAATCACACAATGCAATGTGTTGCTTTTCATATAAGTGAAATTCATACAAAGAGACACTTCACTCAATGATTGTGCTAAACAAGATTTAAAAGCTTCCCAAATTGCAATTTACCATTAACTCTACAGTAGTCTTGCTCACCAGACCTTTCTCAAGAAAAGAAAGGTCTGGCTGGGCCGACTCTCCCTTTAAGACTGGAGAAAAAAATGCCCCAGCTGCTCGTATTTCTTTCAACCAATCACAATCGTTCTGGCCGGTGCCACGGCAACAGTGCGCTTGCAAAAATATTGCCGGGGGGAAATAGGTTTTGGTGTAACACGCCCACAAAAATATCACCTACAGGACATGAACCATAGCAGAAAAATGGCTACATCCCCGCAAGATCAAACACCGCAAAAGTTAGTAAAGGACGTGTTGAAAACGGTTGAAAACTGCTACACAACCGGAGGTGGTAGGGCGGGACTTCAGTGGGTGGCTCGTTCCGCCCAATGAGAGGCTGATCTATGCAGTGAACTTCCGCCCACTCAGACTAACTCTACAGTAAATAATAGAGGTATTTATAGGGAGTAGTGATAACTTGAAGTGAAAGGAGTGATTTTACTGTAGATGTAGGAAACTGTCAATAGATTATTGTTGATTGGTTAAGTTTTAGTTTAGTTTTACTTTATTGTCCTCAGAGGCAATTTGTAGCACAGCACATACACAGGGACATTCACAAGAAAAGTACATAGAAAATACAGCAACAATAACGTCAATAACAACAAAACGCTGCATCCTTGGGCAGGCAATTCAAATCATAAATACATAAATACAGTGCATATTTTTCGATTTTCTATTGTAACTTGTATGTGCACTTGACTGAATAGAAACTAGTGGCAGTCGAGAAGGTGGAGAAGGCAGCTGAAAACTCTGAAGCACTACAACTGGGTTTGAAAACTCGTATGCTCCTTTACATTTCAATCTGTTGGAAATATGTGTGCATCCTCCGCACAGTGACTCACTCACCTGAGTCGACTATACATCATCACAACCTTGGCGAGCCCGGCTAAACACAATCATTCAGAGAGTTGCAAACAGCTCCCGCTCCAAGGCTGCGCTTTATCACACACTAACATACAACATGCATTTGTTCGAACCAGTAAGCCTCAAACATGTAAGCTATAATCTGTCTTAATCTGTTTTTACAGAGGGAAGTCTGTTTTCAGACATTTACAATGAGGAAAGATTGTGAAAGGGAGGATGAGAATGAAAAGGTGGAGCTTTGATGAAGCATGAGGTGAAAAAAAATCTGTTCTGAGTGGCCAACTTGAATTTGGTTGCACTCTGGTAGCTATTGTGAGGCATTTACTTTCAAAATAATGACAAACTGTGCTGTATTACACTATTTTTCTGAGATGTGGAGCAAAGTACACCAACTTTTCTGCCTTCCAGCTGCCTCTAATGACTCCACTAATCTCATGAAGACTTACAGAGCTTGTTTTGTGTTTTTTCTATTAAAATGATCTATATTCTATCCCGCATGTTCAACAAAACCTTGAATATTGATGTGAAAAAAATGACAGACTTGCAAGTGCAGCTGCCTTTTCTCAACTTAGTCCACCTCATACTGAGTCGTGCTGATCAGAGGGTTTATAGTGGGTCTTGGTGGGGAACCTTCCAGGCTGTGGTTCGGGGCCAGTGTGGTAACCTCTGGTGTTTAAACCTAGCAGTGCGCTTCATTTGATGTTTTTATCTCGTCCAAACAGGATGTACCGACGCACCTCCAATATGGTGGGACTCAGCTACCCCCCTTCTGTCATATCTGTGCTTAAGGTATTAACATGCGCACACACACACATCCAAGCAGAAGATATGAAATAACAAATTTGTACACTCATGTGCAAAAAAATCAAGACTACATACCCTGAGTTCAGCTGGGCTCAGACTACAGGAGTTTATGCCTGATTTACCCCTCATGATTATCGGAGGAGAAATGTGGTCTGGGGCCTTAGTTGGTACCGATGTTCAGCTCAGATTATCTGGTACTATGAGAGGTTTACAGAGCCCATCTTAAACCTCTCTCTCATTCAAACATGTTTGATATTTAGGAGTTAATGCCTGGATGATTTCCTCAGTATGGGCTGATGTTGTTGCCAAGCAGGCTAAAGTTAGTCCGACTGTCAGTTGACAGATATCACAGCTGACAGTTAAATCTCACCTCAGGTTCTCACTCAAGAATAGAGAACCTGTGTTTACTATTTTCCTGTCCAGATATGTTTAGCCTCCTGCTTCTGTTTTTCTCACTGCAAAGCATTGTTAACATTACAGCAAGTTGTCGCACCACGTCAGTCTTCGTTTTTTCCCCCATTTGCTTCCCCTTGAGATCACATGAGGCGGTGCATTCATGCTTCCTCTGGCAAGATAATCTTAATGGTATCCTGTAGTGTGTGATGTGCCATTATTTTCAAATCTTGTAGCGTGTGCATGTTTGAGATTAGCAATAAATTCTCAGTTAGGATTTTAAAACTCCTGTCGTCTGAGCCTGGTTTTATTTACAGGAACGTGACCTCCAGTATCGTCACCTTCACATGTTTTTGAGAAAATGAATACATTGTTTGAGTGGTGGCATGTCATCATTTGAATTTCTTCTCCCCCACACAGCATGTTGACAAGTGGTCTTTTGACGTCTTCGCTCTAAATGAAGCCAGCGGGGATCACGCACTTAAATTCATATTCTACGAATTGCTCACAAGATATGACCTCATTAGCCGTTTCAAGGTAAAGCCACAAGGATATAACACACATATGTATCAAAATGTATATGTAGCACTGCACCACTGGTGACCGCCATACCTTTGTCTCATTAAAATGAGGAGAAACTACAAATATTCACTATAGATCATAAGAGCTTTTACAGTCCCCTTCACCATGCCTGATTTGATGAAAGCCAGCACCCTCACTTCTCTGTCTCTTAAGCATTAAATCTTGTTGTTGTGTTCCAACAATGACCACATTATGAAGGGGGCTGGACACACTTCATCTCATCTGATGCTCGTGGAGCTCATTTTCCACAGCGTCTTATAGCTGAGGACACTTCACTTTAAGTGACAGCATCTTAGAGTGGAGACAGGCAGTGAAAATGACATGAATATGTAATCACAGTCTGCAGTAGCCTAAAGGACTCACGATCCATTATTTTATTACATCAATTTCAGGCTCTGAGGGGAGTGTGCGTGCATTGAAATTGTATGGACCCATCATTTAAATCACCAGATAGCTTTGAGAAGTTTCTGTCTGCAGTTTTTTTGTTTTGTTTTTAGCTCGTGGTCATTTGCTGTTGTTTTGTCTGCTGTCAGATCCCAATCTCTGCGGTGGTGTCCTTCGTGGAGGCCCTAGAAGTGGGATACAGCAAACATAAAAACCCCTACCATAACCTGATGCACGCTGCTGATGTCACACAGACTGTACACTACTTGCTACTCAAGACTGGCATGGTGGTGAGTAGGAGTTGACTGTATATCTGTCTATCTATATCTGACTGTACAGGCGCTGGTTTGGTTCCTAGAAGGTGAAATCATTTTATGCACATGATATTCAGAACATCTCTGTCAGCTGCCGTATGCTAGCTTAACTGTAGCTTTGTCTGAAATGTCAGCATTTTTCTTGGAGAATACATGAGTTGTTCTGTCATTGAAAAAAAACAACACATCCTATTTTCTCTCAGGGCTAGTGTGAGAACATCAACTTGTAAGAACATCTGTCAAATGTGACACATATTAATGTTCATTGTCTCAACATTTCAAGTCAAATGTTTTCTGTCTTCTTGCCCAAATGTTGCTTCATGTTCAGTCTTTATACTTGATGTTGCTTTTGTTCTTTTTCCATCTGACCTATATTTCACTGCTTCCTACTGGAGTAACTTTAGGGCATTTCTGATGCTGCATTCATTCCAAAAAACAAACAAAAAAACACTAGCCTCACTAAAGCCGAGTTCAAAGTCCCCAACCAGCCGGCCGCCCCCGCTTCCAGTGTTTTTATTTAATCACCTTAATAAGGTGGCTGCGACAGCTGTCGACATAGTGAGTTTTTTTGGGGCGGTGCCTTGCAGAGTAAACCACATTACTGCTAGAACCACAGGCTCCTGGGAGAGCAGGAGAACAGCATCTATCATTTCACAGGCCCTCCAGACTCCATTAAATCAACAATCAACAGGTCATTCATAAAGCCGGCCCCGTGAGGAAATATACTGAGGGATGGACCGGCCATGTTGCCCCCACCCACCCACCTCCCGACCCCCACACCCTGTTCTTAATGACTCCCCCATCCCCCACTGTTGATTAGTCACCAATATCGACTGAGCTTCCCGAGCTAAATACTGTGTACTGTGTACGTGAGTGCACATAGATGCGTGCACATCACAGAGGTGTGTGGAGGCTGCAAACACAAATGTCCATAAATAAAAGCACACACATGCAGGTACAGTCCATATTATTCATATTCTTTTGGCCATTGACATCTTTATCTTTAGGTTCAGGTGGTGGCGTGGGTGTTGCTCATATGATGAAAGTCTATTTTCACGTTTCATGTTTTTCTGACAGATAGTTCCACATTTTGGGACAGAACGCTTCTTCACTTTTCTTATGGAGAATTAGATAAGAGCATCAGTACAACTCTCATGACTACAGTCTTAATTTTGCTGATGCAAATGACAAAGATATGTTGATAAAAAAAAAAGAGGTTATTAAAAAAGAAACAATAATAATAAAAACAGAAAAATCGGAATTACATATAGACTTTGTTCTCACCTATTCAAATCTAATGCAGCGGTGCAGCTTCAATTTCTGGTCAGGGAAATTTCCCAGCTAGGGATCAGTAAAGGTTTAACTTAACTATATTTATGCAAATGGGGACAACCTATTCTAAAAACGTATGAATATAATGTCTAGTAGAGTCTAGTACAACACTACAACTAACACATTGCAGAATTAAATAAACAGCTCTTAAAAAATATCTAGTAATTAAGTCGACTAAAAATAAAAAGAATGAGGTTGACTTAATATGACTAAAACAAAATAAAAATTGCTGACAAAGTAACCACCAGCCTGTAGTGCACATGGAGCTAATACCAGCGGCCAGTTAGCTTAGCTTAGCATGAAGACTGGGCATGGGGGGAACAGTTAGCCTAGCACTGTTAAACGGTAATAAAATCTATCTACCATCCCCTCTAGAACATAGACTGACACATTCAAGGTGTTTGTGGTGGCTTATGTGCCAAGCACAGCTAGCGAGGCTGGCTGTTTCCACCCCATTTCCATAAGGCCCCAAAGAAGTGCCAATTTGACATAGTGGCCAAATTGTGTAACTACAACATCTGGGTTTGTGACGTGATGTCTTTGGGCCCAAAAATACTTTTCCCCATAGATTTACATCATGAAAGAGATGTTTGTACATCAGTGGGTATATTTTAACAACCCCTGCAAAATGACTCGTTTCACTATCAAGATCTGACCCATTTGGTCCAATAACATTTCAGTCTAGGAGAGCTGCTCGATTAAATCATTAAATCCCCATCCAAGTTAGCCTGCTCATCCAGGAAGTCAAACTACTTTGGTTTCACTTGCCACTGAGCTCTTTCATAGGACTAAACGGGGTCCTGCCTCCAACACTGTATCCAGCTTTGTTTATACATCCATAAGTTAACTGGCTGCCTACTGTGGCTACATATTGACGGTACAGACATGAGAGTGGTATCGATCTTCTCATCTAACTCTCAGCAAGAAAACAAATCGGTGCATTTTTTTCAAGCTACTCCTTTAAGAGTTGCTCCTACTTCCACATCATCCTCTTTTTGCTGTCGTCATGAGTCGTGCCTAAAAAGGTTTTGAACTTGACCTGAAAAACTTAAATAGAAAATATATTTGGTAACAGCGACAAACCAGATTGAGACACTGTCTGAGAGACAAAGAGGAAGTGGTGTTAAAGTGACAGTTTTAGGTGTGAGTCTCAATAGAGCTTGTCTTATCTAAAGCTTCCTTTGTGCTTTTCTGACCTTTCCTCTATCTCCTCCTCCCCATTTGTTTCCTCTCATCCCTGACGGTAATGCATTCCTCATGCCAAATACTTCCCTCTGCATCCTTTATATCACTTTTCTCCTTTACATCTTTCTGTGGTGATGTACCATTCCCTGCATTTCCCTTTTTTCCATTCACTGGCTTCTCATTTCTCTTCTCTAATTTCTGTCCATCCTTCCTCGTCTGTTCATTACTTTCCCCTCCTTTTCTGTCAATGCCGCTGTTTTTTCCATCTCGTTGCTTCCCCTCCTCAACACCCCATCTCTATATACTTCTCTTAATATCCCCCTCCTCCTCATTATCTTCACCTCGCACCCCACCTTTTCCCTCCCATCTCCTCTCCTTCTCCTCCTTCTTCTTCTCCTCCTTTTTTGCCTGCAGCATTGGTTGACTGAGCTTGAGATCTTTGCCATGATCTTTGCGGCGGCAGTGCACGACTACGAGCACACGGGGACCACAAACAACTTCCACATTCAGACAAGGTAATGGATCATAAAATCAAAAATGCATGGCAGTGGCTCACCCGATCAATGTTTTCATTTGCAGCAAGGGGGCTTTACAATCACACTGAGATCGCCTGCAGTGCAGTAATAACACTGGGGCAGGACAAGAGTCCAAATGAAGTCCGAACTCTTTAGCCTGGAGAACTTGAGTTGGAGGGAACACATTGGAAAAAAACCTTTTGTTATTATTGTAATTAAAGTTTCAATTGGTTGCCAAACACTGTCTTCATACCCGTTATTATTTTCAGATCTATTACACTAAAAGTTAATTTTCTGCAGCCATTAGTATAATTGTCCAGATTTCTGTAATTCAGAAATACAGAACTTCTAAAACTTCATATAATTAATGTTGTCCAGATATATACTTTTCTGTACACGATACATTTCAGAGATGAAAACCTCTTACTAACAGTGGCCAGTTTTCAGTAATATACTGAGGGTCCTCATTTGTGGAGCGCTAGTAGTTTAATCATTTTGTGCTGTGTAAAACCTGTATATGTTTGACATTGTGAATATTGCATTATATGTCAGTCCCTTCAGGATTTTGTGGTTTCACAGCAGCTTTTCTAACGTTCTTCTTAGCTGTTTTTTGAAATTGTTGAATTGGAAATTGTCGGAGCAAGTGAAAATTGCAAATTTAGTTGCAATTATTTGTATTAATTAATTGAATACATTAATTATTTGCATTTCTCTCTTTTCTGCCTCATTCAGTGATGTCTCTCTCACACAAATAATCTCCATCTCTTACACATCCAGCTTGACATTTCAAATAATTATTTCACACCATGTTTAAATATTTCAATCAAGACTTCTTATTCCTAAACTATATTCTTACTCTGTCTCACACATATACACACAGAGTTGGCAACACACACAGGAGAGCATGCCTCTGTCACTTTGTGATTTATGCTATGCTAACGTCACCACTAACCATGCATATTTAATCTAACTCACCTTGAGTCTTTCAGCAGTTGCAATAGATCTGGATGCGACAGCCTCGGTCACGGTGATCTGTCTTGTCTATTGTACACATGTTTCAGTCATTCTCACCCCAACATTGCACACAGTACAAACATTTTACCCAGAACATCAGGGAGTTGCCTTGTACAATCTTTGGCTGTAAGTTTTGTTGGTAAACGTGTTGCTCGTCTGCATATTCACAACCAGATATAACAATGAGGTGAGTTTGTTAATGTTATGCTGGGGAATTCTGTGTAGTGATACTCGTGGGAAACTATGATGACTGGTCAAATTTGTGGAAAAGTTGACTGGACAATTTGCAAGGTCACACATTACTTACATGGATTGGTTGACTTTGCGTTGCGTGTTGCAGTTGCAGCATCCTGAAGGGGCTGACATATATTATTGTTACAGAGGTAACACATAAACTCTTCCTTTTTGTTGTTGTTTTTTGGTCTTTGTTTGATTTTGCTCCTTCTACTGCAGACCTCCTGCTAAGTGACACTTTTTTCAGATAAACTGGTGAAGTAGCAACATGATGGGCTCTATTGGTTCTCTATAAGCTGCTCTTTTTCCAATATAGATGAAACAATTGCTTTGCTTTCCATTTGACAGGTCAGACACAGCTATCCTGTACAATGACCGCTCAGTGTTGGAGAGTCACCATGTCAGCGCAGCGTACCGCTTACTGCAGGACGACGATGAGATGAACATCCTCTACAACCTCTCCAAGGATGACTGGAGGTCAGTGAGATGGATACTTGAGGCAGACAATAAGAGGAAGGGAGACGGAGAGATGAAAAAGCTGAGTAACAGCGAAGAGAAATAAAACTCGGAGATGTAGTAGCCACAGAAAGATAGAGAGATAGACGTGGCAGGTGAAAAACCGGGCACGTCAAGCAGAACAGTTCCACAATGCACATATCACCTTTTGTAAGCCCAAAGTGAACTTATCTCTTATTCTTCAAGATTAACAACTGTGCTCGGTGGCGTGAAAATCAGAAAAGTTGGATTACCTTCAAGGTCCAACAGCTTTGTGCTAAATGGAAGTGTTTTGTGTGATAATACATTAAAGGAGACAGCTGCAATCCGATTCCTCACGACATAAGCTGGGACTTGTCAAAGCAGATATTATAAATAGCTCTCAAAAACTATGTTGGCTGGCTTAATTTACTTTTAGCGACTTCCGAAATAAGTCGGCTTTTATTACCTTAGAGTTTGACAGTTCATTATACAGCACATGGATCATGTTTTCCTCTCCTCTTCCCCTCTCCTTTGTTTTCATCCAGAGAGCTGCGAGCTCTGGTGGTGGAGATGGTGCTGGCCACAGATATGTCGTGCCATTTCCAGCAGGTTAAGGCCATGAAGAACTTCCTACAGCAACCTGAGGGGTCAGTTGACTTGTTCTTCACTTTTGTTTACCTCATCCCAGCAATTTACATCCTCATTAACCCTGCCATCAGCCTCTGTGTACCAACCTCCAGCTGTTTACAACCCAATTAACCCTGCCCCGAGGGTGAACTCCGACATTCACAACACAACAAACATTCATGTTTATAACAAATGGACTGGGATTTTGTGTGTTGCTCAGGTGCTGTTTACTCAAAATAAAAAATAGAAATGGAACGAGTCTTTTGTGGCCAAATAGTAGCAAATGTCATGCATTATATATACAGTGAGTACCATTACAGGCCCTCTCAGGCACTAACACAGGATAGTTTGTGTTTCTGTGCTGTGCTGTTTCTGCAGCAGAGTTATAGTGCAGTCATACCAGATTTGGCATGGTGAAATGTATTTGCACACTGTGGTGAAAAACAGCCGGTGGCAGAAATATTGCTGGCAGGTTTGCTGGCACACTGTAGGCTGCAACAGCTAAGACGACCAGCTAGAAAACATTGGTCCTCCACAAACTATGTAAAATGTTTTTGTTTTTTGTTTTTTTTCCAGGACTTGTGTTTTGCTGTTTGTATTCAGCAGGATGTGCATGCAAACATAAATAGCAGCTATAAATACATCCTCACAACTTGCAGTCAGCAGCAGTTGCTGAGTGTTGGCAAATACATTTCATTTAATTGATGAAATCAGACGTTCTCTCCACAGTGGTATAGGTTTATAAGCATTTCTCAAAAACACTAGTGTTATCCATTTCCTCCAGTACAAGTACACAGGCTAGGACGACTGCCAAAAAGTAGCTGACTGACATCTTCCTCTCTGTTACTGTCTATAGGACCTGTGAACCACAGGTCATGGGACTCCCCAAAAACACCCCATGAGCAGTGCCTTACATCTTGCATGCCTGATGCATGTTTTTGTCAGCTCACATATGGTCATCTCAGCACCTTTTGGACAAGTTAGAAAAACTGTAACCTAAAAAGTAGTGTTAGTATTTACTAATCTTTGCCTCACGCCTACATGTAACTTCTAACAGAGATACATTTTTATGATTTTTTATGATCATCGATTTATGAGGATGCACTTCAAACTACACTTTTACTTCTTGTGCTGCTGGCATAGCTGTAATCGTAACTTGATTTCCCTGCAGATTTTCAAATGACGTCTACCTGACTGCTGATAAATTCTTAAATTGACCATCATGATGTCATACTGAAAAATATGTACAGTTAAAAAGAGCTAAAATATCTTGACATTTAGATGAACTAAATGATGTCCAACAACAAATACCTGGTATCTGGCATCATGCCCAGCCAAAATGGGCTGACAAGACTGACTATCTATTTCCATGTACATAGGTGTGAGATCATATCTACAAATTATACAAAAACATGAATAGTATGTTCTCAACCTCATCCTCATCCCCATACAACTGTTTTACAGTTGATATTTTATGAAATGCACATACAGTGGTTGGAATGATAGCAAAAGAATTGGTGCCCCACAAATGATGTTATGTACTTGACATAAAGTCGTACTTAAGCTCCTCAGGTCAAGACTCAGAGGCCCATTTACATTGAAAGTATGAGGGACATTCTTTGACAGCAATGTTCACATCTTGGCCAAAGAAGACAGATGGTATGAAAGAGGCATGAAAGAAGCCTTGTACACCAAATTGGAACGTCCATCGTTAAACAGAGGAGGTGGCCTATGACACCACTTGTCATCCACCTACAATGTAGTCTTGGGATCCCTCCCCACACAACCTACCACCCGTTCACACCTGGACCCATCTAACCCTAATGACACACATGATGGCTGAGTGGGTCAATGACACACATGTGACCTTAACGACTGTGAAACTCAAAGCTCACATGTGACCTCAACGAATTGAAAGCCTGCAATTCCACATCAGTCCATTAGTACTGAAAAAGTCTCTCGGATTAGAGGTGAAATGTCTTCAAGAACCCCAAGCAAGTCCAGTTGCCTACGATAAAGCGCTTAAGATTACCATCACCTTGATGACTGACAATCTTCACCGACATGCTCAAGTAAAGATACATAGGTTAGGTTTAGTTAAAGAGACACAGGGACAACGATGTACCTTAAAATAACTCAAAGTTAACTTGGTTTCACACAGTTCTGAACATTGGCCTCCTGGGTGAAAGTCCTATGTTTTGTGACCTGTCCACTACCCCAACCTCCCTGCTTATGCGGACTACCTCCTTATTTACTCCTGTCAGCGCACTGGTCGCGTGATTGTAGCCTTACCAATTCCCATAAATGACTAGCTAATGATTACATGTGTTATATACGAATTGTGGTGCATTACTTTTCATGAGTAAGCGTATGAACAGTTCTCAAGAACAGCCTGATATTCTTTATGTCTTCATACTCGTTTCTTATTCAGTCTAGTATGCCTAATTTTCCAAGCTTAAGATATAAAGTTATCCCATACTTTGTAACTCAGTCCAACTTTTCATCAAACCAAAATAAATCAATGTTGTTTCTGCTTGTTCTTCTTACAAAGGCGCACGCAGGTTATCTTATAAAGTATGAACGTGCACTCAGAGTGCAGGCTGGGATGGTCACAGAGCTCGCCCAAGCATGCAGTGCTGCATCCTGCAAAACCACGGCCATCCAAGTGAAATGCTTTGTTTTTCGGGAGTCCCTACAGGTCATTGAGGTCCCTCCAAATTCTGAATGGCTGACCTTGTTCAAATTGAAAATGTAAAAGATCACATAAAAGTGTGGAAAACAAGGCCACGTGTATCGCAACAGGGAGCAAATATGTTTCAGTCAAAATAATAGATTTTTTTTCTTCTTTTATTCCTTCTGCACCCAAGGTCACCAGACAGCAGACTTTTTTTTTTTTTTTACACATTTCAAGCATGGCTCCCTCAACAGTGATTGATAGCCGCGGCTGCTCTACATGCAGACACAGAAAGGAAGCAAGAGAGCTATCAAGCAAACTATCGTATGACGTGATGAGTCATCACTGCTGATGTAGCTGCAACGAGAGACGGCTTTAAGAAACTCGTTGACCTTCGGGGTATTCTTTTTACTGTGATAAAGCACGCCACTCGTCACGATTAGAAAATTGCTCAGAAAGCAGTGATGTGGAGATAAGCACCTCTTTGAGAACGTATGTAGGAATCAACAACATTGTGCTTCCTATATTTGTGAATATATCTCAAAATTCAAAGAGTGCTGACTGGGATGTAATCATCAAGCTACTGTATAGGGTACCCACACACACACGCGCGCACACACACTTGCACATAAATGAGATTGCAGTCTGCAGGAAGCTGTAATGCTGAATAGACTCTAATGTGAAGTAATTCACACCAGTCTGCTCCAGGCCTGCTTTGAGTGCACTTTAAGACCCAATCTGCCACAAATGGAATGAGGGGAAATCTGAGCTAGTCTCTCTCACCTCTGTTTAACCTTGTACTGTGTGTATGTGTGTGTGTTATTCGTGTGCCTATTTTCCATATTGGCCTGCGTCTGCTCGTTCATGCACCAGTCCATTGAACATGATATTTTGATATGGTTATCAGGTGATATCTCAGACACCGCCGATGTCTGATGAGGTGAGAAGATGCGTCTTCACACTGTGTTCCAGTGTAGAAAACCGATCTGTCTAATGGAGGCAGAATGATGACAGGGGAATTGTTATGTTTGTTTGTTTTTTATTCCTTTTGGATGGAGATGTCTCCCTGGTTTTAGGTGGTTCTAATAGATCTGTTTTTTTTGGGGGGGGGGTTTTGTAAATAAATTTCATCAGTTTGACAGTTTGATGTTGCCTCCATTTGATTAGTGCCATCACAAAACTTAAAAGATGTCTTATTGTCAACAGATTCCATAAAAAGACCAACAATGAATTGATCCTAATAATACAGTAATAAGTAGTGTCCCACCACTTCATTGTTGCCAAAAAGCTATTAAAACATCAATGAACTACACTGTTGTGCTGGTTGACATGTTCCTCTATAACCATGAACACAAACACTGTAGTTTATTTTGAGTCGATCCCACATACACTGTCCTGCTGTCAGAAATACTCACTACCAAATGTGTACTAATCCACCACTGAAAATGTTTCCTAACAACTGTGTTATTTACTCTTGTTTGAGTAATGTTAGTGTTCATCCTTCATCCTCATACGGGATGTACCAAAGACAGGTTAGGAAGGTCAAAATGTATCAAGACATAGACTATATAAACACATTGTTAGTTTTGGTATTGTCATGGGATTTGTTGACAATATTAAAAATATAAAATATTTCCAGCCTTATTCTTTAAAGGTATACTATACAGGAGGTGTCAGTTATCAACCCAGTTGCTAAAAGAAAATGTTGGCATTATATGTTTCTGCAAACCAAGGGTATGTTACATTTGCATGTTTCATATGTATCATATTAGCTTTTTTAAAGTGCTGATTTTGTCTCTGGAGGGTGGAGAGGATGATGGTTGTCTTCTGCAGTCAGCTATTACAGTGACATTGTTAGTAGGGTTCTTACATTCTGCACATCTGACATCTATAAATCTTTTGTAATTTGGCAGCCTGCAGCAATGGTGAGTTTATACTCCGTCTGCTGCTCTGCACTACATCGTGTTTGTACTAGATGTGATATCCTGCAGTGGTTTCACCTGCAGCTCCTGTTCTACCCTTTTCTTGTGATGTCTTAGTAACTTCATCCAGTTCAAAGTGTTTGTGCATGCTCCCTGTGTCAGCCAAATCTATCTTAAAACAATAGCAGCGTACTTTGACAAAGCACTGGCTTTGAAGTGACATCTCTCTAAAGCAACCCCACTGTAAGTGATGAGAAACAAAATTCTAAAGTTTTTGTGCTGCAAAAAAAGGAATCCAAAATTCAGTCAGAGAGACAAACTAAGCGGAATCCTTAAAACTAATCTAAAGTCTGAAATCATAACTGTGCAGCCATTAGTGGACAATTTTATCCAAGACACATTCAAATGCCCAAAGTGGAAGCATTTTTACTTTGTAAAACTAGACAGTGTTGATACCATACTGAGCATATACAGCACACTGTCTATAATAAATGTTTTCCTTCTCTCCTTCCTTCTTTCTGTCTTTCATTCAGCACATTTCACTGTGCTGTTCTTACACAAAGACTCAATTTCTGTGGACAGATTGCTGTTGAAACATTTGCAGCTGTGCCACATTTTTTCCTATTTTTCTTTTTTACTATATGATTGACCCTTCTGTCTTCAGGGACACTCAGTGCATTGGAAAGCCTCATGTATCCTTCCCCTGGTTGGTATTTTTCAATAACCTTGTTGCAGATTTGTCTGGAATGTCTGTTTGCCTTCAACATGTAGGTTTCAGTGTTGTGCATGAACTCTCTGAAAGAGCGAGTTCATTCTTTTTGCTCACCATTTTTAAAAAAAGGTAAACTAAAAGCCTCAGTTTGCAACTTATGAACTTGAACGTGAGCATTGTTCCCTCGCGACAGTTAATGCCGCTTGTTTTATGGCACCCAGCATGCCAACACAACACCAGCAAGACATCTACCAGCACTGCTCATATGGATATTTGACGGACTTTTATGAACAAATCAGTAAAACACAGATTCCAATGGAAAGAATCTCACATTTATATCAAATTGAGACCGATGGGTTTTAAAAAACAAGTCCTAACGTCAGCCACATCTGCAACAATTTGAAACAACACATCAAGTTGAAGCATCCAACCAGTCTTGGGAAATATCTGTGAGTGAATGATGAAAACAAGTGAACTATGGATGTCAACCAGTTAATTTTAATGTGTGTGAGCTCTTGTGATGTGTGAACGTGCTCAACACTGGTAGTTTTTGGGACGTTGATTAAGCAGGAGTTCAACCTAAAAGACACAGGTGTGTTTAATCTAAATCCCTCGTCATCAAACCTTGATTACACAGGTTATCTCATTTTAGCTCATTACAGTACCTTGAAAACCATTCGGCTTCACCTGTACCAATTTAGGTGTGTCACATTCAGGAGTGTAATGCAGATTTTAATGTTTCAAATATGCTCTCTTTTGCAGCATTGACAAGCCCAAAGCCCTGTCCCTGCTGCTACACACAGCAGATATCAGCCACCCGGCCAAAAGTTGGGACCTACACCACCGCTGGACCACCTCCCTACTGGAGGAGTTCTTCAGACAGGTGAGTGGGCATACCTGCTCCAGTTGTTTGTAGATGTGAGGTTCAGATGCATGTAACGTTGAACATCACCTCTGAAGAACAGTTTCAGACAAAAACATGAGACTTGTGTGGCAGGAAGAGTACAGGTGAAGCAAAAAGTTAATGATGGCGCCACTCCACTTGAGTGTCCCACTAAACGATGCCATTAAGCAAGCATGCAAACCTCTGGGGCCCTTGAGCTGGAAAATCTACATGATATGCAGACATTATTAATGTTGTTGACAAAACAATCCATTTGCATCGTGATAAATGATCTTCATCAGAAGTGGAGGATTTTTAGATGTTCAAGTTTCCTTATCTGATCACTTTAAAGACTTTTCAACCATCTTGGCTCAAAAGTTGAGAAGGAAAGTTTATTCTTGACTTTTAATTTACACCTGTACTTTTCTTGCTATGTGAAAATATATGCTCTATTGGACCATCTGTGGAGTCTGGAGGGAACTATTTCTGTAGGATTAATGTGGACTGCCAAAAGATGAAAAAAGAAAACATTAGATTTGAGGTACAGTTTATGTATCTATCTTAGAATATTACATGCGAAGTGCTTTTAGTGGCTCCTGTGGTGCTGATTGTACAGGTTGCAAAAAAAGTAATTTATTTTTCTAATGTTTTAATATCTTGCTTTGGCTCAGCTCTACCCCCCAAAGCTCCTTGCATTAGTGAGATATACAGTCATATTCATAAGTTTAATTGCAGACACTCTGCTCCTTGTCATTTTAAAGAATGATGCCATGACAAAGCACCTTGGCAGATTAAAATGTAGAACATTACCTCTTTGATACAACAATGCATTTGGCTTTAAATAATAAATTGTGGATTTGTTAATGTCAACAACAGCACGGGCGTTTAACTGGTGCCACATTGCTTTCATCTCTTCCATTATTAATCCGCATTGTTCTCATTATCAGTGCTATTGTTATTTTGGCCGCTTTCACGGGGCTTTTATCTCTCGGGATATGAATCGCCGATAAATAGCTTCTCCAAAGAACATTGCCTCCCGACTCCACATCTCATCTGTTTGTGTCACATCAGACGAGAAAATGAAACACATTTGTGGCCCAAAAGCACTTAAGGGCGGGGGCCAGACAAATCCAAAGCGTGTTGATAGAAGTGTGAGCATATGGTGTATGGCGGCGGCGTGTACGCGTGTGTTTGTGTGAGTATGTCTGGAGGGTGGGGGACATTTTTATAGAAACCAAATACTGAGAATGACTTTGACTGAGGAAGCTGCTGTGTTTCCAGGGGGACAAAGAATCCGAGCTCGGCCTGCCGTTCTCTCCGCTCTGCGACCGAAAGTCCACAATGGTGGCACAGTCCCAGATCGGTGAGTGGCTTCTCCATCTTCACATGCACCACATGTACAATGATGTGTGTCTGTATGGGTGTAGTGCTGCTCCAGCTTGAGCTTACTTCAGAAAAATTACATCTCTATTTGTAAATGTGTTATAACCACCTAATTGCATATTGTTTTGTGTGTTTATATACATTTATATCAATCTGTCAAATGACAAAGTGTGATGAATTTGGTTATTGTGTTTCCTGTGATAATGACAGAATAACATATTGTTTGATAGAGACGTAACATATTGATAAATAATGTTTTCTGCTCTGTCCTTTACCACCTTATCTTTTATTGATTGAGTCTTTTTATGAGAGTTGTAGAATGTAGCTAATAGGAAAGATTAAAAGTTTGTTTTTTACCTTACCTGAAAAACATGCAGAGGAGGTGACAGCACTTTTTCCAGCCCTGAGCAGTGTCTGCAGTTTTCCTCTCAGGTTATTTAAAGCCTCAACAACTTCCACTAAGAAGATAAGCCTGCATGTTTCCCTGAAAGACCAAATCCAGGGCAACAAGTCTGGAGAGCACTCAGTCATCACTCGTGAATCTTAGAGGATAGGTGTTACCCTACTTAAACACTCTGATGACCACATTTAGACTGCGCAACTTCCATTAAAACAGCATTAGGGAGGAATTTGTTTGCAGCCAGTGTGAAGGGGGCAGGAGGAATAATTACAACAACCAGTAACACTTTCCATGTACGTATAGGCATTTGACTTAAAAACAAGACAGAACTTACAAGATTAAAATTCCCATTGGATCTGCAAATATGACTATCGGGGAATGTCCCAACAGTGACTGCACATTTTAAGATATATTATGTAACTTCTCTGCATCAAAATGTCTAAAAACAACTAGACCAATATTATATGTTTTGTTGAATTGTGTGCTGACATCATCCTAAATGTTTCCAACAATTTTCAAACCCAGAGAAGTTGGTCATTTTAATCAAGGATACAATGCGTGTCGCGACTGACTGTTGTGTTCTGCTAGAAGCTATCATAAACTGACTTTTCATCCACTTAAGCTACATTCTTACACTTTTGAGGTTGTTTTTAACTATATTTTTTTAATCAGATGAAGGATTTTAACCATCGGAGAAACAAGCTGAGCAAACGTTAGCAGCAGCTCGGCTCCACTGTCAGAGAAAAACTGATATTTTTACAGTTTTTAACAGTTTTAATCACCTGGTTCATTTGTTTCGGAGGGGAAGAGACCTTTCCAGATAATTCGGCTCCCGATGAAACCTCCTGAGCAATGAACACCGGAGGAATCCTAACTTGAAGAAACTCACTGCAGTGATGGATTGAGAGGCCCCTTGCGGCAGAAAATTACACATTGTACAATGAAGGAATTTTCAAAACAGGATTTCAGAGATAAATGTATGCACTGCCAGAAAGTATAAAGCAATGATATGACAGTCTGATTCCTATCTCCTCATAACTAGATGTTTTTTGGAAATTAATAGCTGCATGCCACTTGAAAAGATACAAACTCACACACACAAAAGATATGATGAATATCATGAATGAATGATGATACACCATCAGTTGTCTGGATAAGCCATGATTGTTTACACTGCCTCTTCTTATTTTATGTAGTATTTATTTGTCTGGAGCTATGTTTGTGTGTATTTTTTCTATCTTGTTTTATCAAAACATGTAAATTAAAATATTCTCCTGAAAAACAGACTTAAAAAAATTTATACTATCCTTCATAGCTGTGAGCAAAGAGGAATAATTGAAGGCGACTGAGATGAGCATATCGATGATTTTATCAGTGCAGAGCTTCTCATCTGCATCTTGGCAGCTGTGCAGTCTAATGACCCCTCTAACACTTTGTTTCACAGACTTGATAATTAATTTAAAACATCCTTAATTTCAGAAATTTGTGTTACAGTGATTTTTTGTGTGGCTTTTTTCATCCTGGTGAATGTGAATATGTATAAACTGACTGATATTTGCTAATTTCTTTGTCACCAGGGTTCATCGACTTCATCGTGGTGCCCACCTTCACTGTGCTGACAGACATGATGGAACGAATCGTCAAACCGCTCATAGATGAAGCCTCCCATTCAGGTTTCGCCGGCTTTAGACGCTCAAGGTGAGCAGCAGCACTTTCTCTCGTTCAGAGAACATTTGAAAACAAAAAAGTTTGGATTGTTCTCTGCTCTTCAGTAGGAGGACTGAGCAGATGGAAGTGGGTGACTATATGTAAATCTGAGTACTTTTTAATCAACCAGCCTGGTTAATCAAGGATGGAAAAGCTACTGTTTTCTATCCCTCACGTCTCATACCTGTCTGGGTAACTGCTCGCTCAATGACGTGATTAAGCCTCGGCAGCTCCTCTGCAATAACAGCAGCATATCTAATGGAAGTATTGGGAACAGCAGATGAGTCTCCCATGAGTAATCCATTTCTGTGCGTGGAAATGTCTCCACCTTTCATCGGGCAGAGCCACACACCTTGAAATTGATATTTTAGAGATGCTAAAGTCGTCATCCCTGATCAAGAGTGGGCTTCAGTGCTGCATTGGCATACACAATAGCCTCTCAAGATACAAAACAAAGTGATTTTGCCTCCACTCCCTTAATTAACCGGCTCAGTACTTTTCCTCCAGCCACATACTAAATCAGGTATGTGCAAGGCTTTGAAACCACCCAGATAAGAAAGTACAGTCCACTTGCTCCTGCGTAAATAATGATTAAACTATCCAGAGAAAGATAATTTAAAAAACTGAGTCTGGTATTTGTGTCTTTTAAAGTGAGCTTATTAGAAAACACAGCAGTACTTTGGGAGTTTGGCTCTGCGTCTTCCGTTGCACCTGCACATCAATATCAGCCTCCCCTCTCTCCTCAACAGCAGTCATTAGCATCACTCAGTGGGCCTCCAGTCAAAGTTAACCGAGTGGAAACCTCAGATAGCGTTGCCACTTGTGCAGTCTCCTTGTCTTCGTACACACCTGGGTGCTTATGGGTTTCCTTGGACTGTTTCTTCCAGAGCATTTATAGCTGCTTTCAATCATCTGTAACTATGCCTGCACTCTCTGTCTGCCTCTGACTATCTACCTGCCTTTCAACGCGCCTCTGTTTTCTTTAACTAAGGATAGTAATGCTGGTTTATTGGTCCTCCGTTGGACTGAAATGTCTCAACAGCCATTCGTGCATGTAACTCACATGATGAATTGAAATAACTAATCCCTAAAAGGGGCACGCCGGCAAACAGCATTGCACATTATCAGGTAAAAATACCTGACCTAACCAAATTCCCATCATCCTCAGTACTCAGTGTTTTAGTGCTAATCAGCTAATTTTAGCATGCTGAGATGCTGTCTAATTTGGTGAACACGGTAAACATTATACGTGATAAACATGAGAATGTTAGCATTGTCTTTGTTACCACGTTAGCATGTAGCTCAAAGAACAGCTGCACAGAGCTACTGTCATTGCGGCACAGGTAGGGTATGTTTGTAAAACCAATCTGATGCTCAGCACTACAATGGGAGTGCTGTTGTTGGAAGGAACAGAATGTTTTATTTCTACATGTATTAATCAACGATTACATTCATCTCAGTCATCTTGATGTTCTGCTGCTCCGTCACCGCAGACACAGTGCCCAGAGTACGCTCTGCTGCTCTGAGAACATGGTGTTCTGAATGACTGAACGGTATGTTACAACAGCGCTCCGAATTTACCAACGGTTCAGTTTGTGCCAAGGTGCGCCCTGGCACTCGGGGTGATTATTTCTGAATGCATCCCTAGTTTTGTTCAACTATTTAACTCTCTTCTCTCTTCTCATTTTCTGTCCAGTCTGAACAGTATTAGCTCAGAGGAGACCAAGAGGCAAAGTGTGAAGAGCTCCGACAGCAGCACGTCGGGACACAGCTCTCTGCTGACGGTGGACCTGAAGAACTTCAAGGCGTTGTGGAACGAAGAGGTTTATCAGAACAGAGAGAGGTGGAAAGCTCAGGCTACTAAAGGTACGTTAAAGCCCACAACTTTACTATTGAGTTCACTCTCATTGCTCTTATCAACTTCATTTTCTGCAAAGAAAAGCTCTAAAACCCCACTGTACACTACCTGCTAAGCACCAAACAATACACAGACACAGTCAGCAACTAGCTGGTCAGCTCAGGAGCTGGTATAAACTAAAAGGAAACAGAGTTAAGAGAGAGCTAATGCAGGACTTTTATATGGGACATTTTTCAGGTGGCAGGAAACACGACTTTGAATTAATGCTAACCTTTTTTTTGTAACTGCTGAATCTGCAAATAAGCAGCTATTTGCTAACAAATTCATGTTGTCAACTTTAAGTGATAAATGTGTTTACAGCTTGTTTCTGCTGCCACCAAGTGGCCAAAACACAGTGAAGTTAAAGTTAAGACTCACAAAGAGTTCTTAGATCAGAACAGAACAGACGGTCCAGTGAACCCTCTCAACGTTTAAGTGAGAATTATTTAACGATGAATTAATGCACACTGACACTCACCCTCTCACATGTGCTAACCTGCCTCCAACCTCCATGTGACCTCAGAGGCGGAGGAGAGAGCTAAAAGAGAAGCGGAGGAGAAAGCCCAGCAGGAAGAAGCTATGGAGCCCCAGGAGGTCAACGCAGAACCAGAACAGCCTGAACCAAAGGAGGACCAAACAGAGGAGGAGGAGCCCGAGTCAGCGGAGGCCACCCGACCGCCAGATGGTAACACGGAGGAAGCAGAGCAGGAAGCACAGCCTGAGAGCGACACACACAAGTATCCTCCACTGCAGAACGGTACGTCCTTTAGCTGTGAAATCCCAAAGCATGATGTGACATACGGCTACAGCACATTAACATGCATACAGTGACCACTGAAGCTGCAGTGAAAGTTCTGTAATCCTGTCTCTGCCCTTTTCCATGATGTTATCAGTGAGGCAGTTTGGATTTGTATAATCTCCACACCTTTAGTATCCATTCACTTTCATTTAAGATGATGCCACAATAAGCACATTAATACAAAAGCTCGTAAGGTTACAATGGGAATCTTTTTCTCTGTATGCAAATGCAGTTCAGACAAAGACTGTGACCTTGTATATTTATGCAGTGTTTGTAGGAGATATGTGTGTTCACATTGCACAACATGTGTTTGGCCTTATCTAGAAAAGGACTTTATCCAAGTAATCATTTTCTGAATGAAAAGTATTTTCCTATTGTTTTGAATCAATGCAGGACGTGGGTGAATCACTAATACAGCAGACTGTAGCTGAATTGTATACTAATGAGGGAAAAATCTTTTCAAATACAGTACAGGCCAAAAGTTTGGACACACCTTCTCATTCAATGCGTTTTCTTTATTTTCATGACTATTTACATTGTAGATTCTCACTGAAGGCATCAAAACTATGAATGAACACATGTGGAGTTATGTACTTAACAAAAAAAGGTGAAATAACTGAAAACATGTTTTATATTCTAGTTTCTTCAAAATAGCCACCCTTTGCTCTGATTACTGCTTTGCACACTCTTGGCATTCTCTCCATGAGCTTCAAGAGGTAGTCACCTGAAATGGTTTTCCAACAGTCTTGAAGGAGTTCCCAGAGGTGTTTAGCACTTGTTGGCCCCTTTGCCTTCACTCTGCGGTCCAGCTCACCCCAAACCATCTCGATTGGGTTCAGGTCCGGTGACTGTGGAGGCCAGGTCATCTGCCACAGCACTCCATCACTCTCCTTCTTGGTCAAATAGCCCTTACACAGCCTGGAGGTGTGTTTGGGGTCATTGTCCTGTTGAAAAATAAATGATCGTCCAACTAAACGCAAACCGGATGGGATGGCATGTCGCTGCAGGATGCTGTGGTAGCCATGCTGGTTCAGTGTGCCTTCAATTTTGAATAAATCCCCAACAGTGTCACCAGCAAAACACCCCCACACCATCACACCTCCTCCTCCATGCTTCACAGTGGGAACCAGGCATGTGGAATCCATCCGTTCACCTTTTCTGCGTCTCACAAAGACACGGCGGTTGGAACCAAAGATGTCAAATTTGGACTCATCAGACCAAAGCACAGATTTCCACTGGTCTAATGTCCATTCCTTGTGTTTCTTGGCCCAAACAAATCTCTTCTGCTTGTTGCCTCTCCTTAGCAGTGGTTTCCTAGCAGCTATTTGACCATGAAGGCCTGATTTGCGCAGTCTCCTCTTAACAGTTGTTCTAGAGATGGGTCTGCTGCTAGAACTCTGTGTGGCATTCATCTGGTCTCTGATCTGAGCTGCTGTTAACTTGCGATTTCTGAGGCTGGTGACTCGGATGAACTTATCCTCAGAAGCAGAGGTGACTCTTGGTCTTCCTTTCCTGGGTCGGTCCTCATGTGTGCCAGTTTCGTTGTAGCGCTTGATGGTTTTTGCGACTCCACTTGGAGACACATTTAAAGTTTTTGCAATTTTCCGGACTGACTGACCTTCATTTCTTCAAGTAATGATGGCCACTCGTTTTTCTTTAGTTAGCTGATTGGTTCTTGCCATAATATGAATTTTAACAGTTGTCCAATAGGGCTGTCGGCTGTGTATTAACCTGACTTCTGCACAACACAACTGATGGTCCCAACCCCATTGATAAAGCAAGAAATTCCACTAATTAACCCTGATAAGGCACACCTGTGAAGTGGAAACCATTTCAGGTGACTATCTCTTGAAGCTCATGGAGAGAATGCCAAGAGTGTGCAAAGCAGTAATCAGAGCAAAGGGTGGCTATTTTGAAGAAACTAGAATAAAAAACATGTTTTCAGTTATTTCACCTTTTTTTGTTAAGTACATAACTCCACATGTGTTCATTCATAGTTTTGATGCCTTCAGTGAGAATCTACAATGTAAATAGTCATGAAAATAAAGAAAACGCATTGAATGAGAAGGTGTGTCCAAACTTTTGGCCTGTACTGTATATGGCATTTATAAAGGTTTTATTTTTTTAATAGAGTGACTACTAGAGTGAAATTTCTCAAGCCATACCGTATCTCCTCACCATAAAGTTTCCTCCTGTTTTTTTCCCCTAAGTAGCTTTAAAGTTGAAAAAATGAATCATCTTATTCTGCCATTTCTGAGGTATCATTTTTTCTGTATCAGCTTGTTCCAGTTCTTTGTTGAAGCCGTGTGATGTTTACACTGAGGGGAAATATTTCACTCAAAGGACTCTGTGTTTTATGCCTCTGTGTCGACATTATGTTTTTGCATTGTTAGTCTGTCCATCCCATCACAAAATGGCCATACCGCAAGAATTCATACGCGAATTAAGACAAAATTTCACACAAATGTCTAACAGGGTAAAATGATGAAGTGATGACATTTTATACCCAAAAGGTCAAAGGTCAAAATTCTGCAAAAACACTTTTTCTGGCCATTATTCATCACCATAACTTAAGAATGGAGGGGAAGACATTTGATCAGATGCTGAATTGGTGACTCTAATTTTGGCTGCCCACATCAAAGCTATGCTGATTGTAAAGATCTTTTGTGCATCCATGTTTTAGAATTTGTAGCTTCTTTGTAGCAACATCCATATTTGAAGTTTTGTCAGCTGTCACAGCTACATATGAGTCTGGACATACATGGATGTAAACTGCAACTTGACTGTTAGGCAGATGCATACAAAGGTGAGGTTGTGATTCTAGATTTATGTCTCATTTAACAAACATTTTCCCCAGTTTCAGCCAACATATTTTGTATCGTTGAGAAGTTCTGCAGGTTTGATCTGTTGCTGCTCAGCACGAGTTTGTAATGACTCACCGTTGGGTCACTGAGGGTGAACATGTTTTTACAGACTTCATAAAGGAGGGAGGATGCTTTGAGGATTTTATTTTCTCGTTTGGATAGAGTGCATGTTTGAGTGTGACGACGACTAACACGACTCTTCTGACCTTTCAGGAGAGCTGTCTGAAGGGACTGAATCTCCAGAGGGTGAAGAAAACAAAAACAAAGGAGATGACGGTGAGTTTATTCCTGCAGCCCACGGATATTGACACAAAAATAATCTGTTTCTCAGTATCTGTGTTTGTTAGGTTCATGCAGGTACAACTAAAGCAGCCTAATATGATAGTCCTGCCATAACTCCTACCATCATAAAGGTTATAACGTTCAGGATGTTGTTTGTGTTGTTTTTGAATTGTATCTCTGTGTTATACAGAGAGGAGTTTCTGTCATTCAGCCTACCCTCATTGTAAAAATCGAGGTATACAGAATAGAAACACTTGTATTGTAATTTTAATCCATAAAAGTAAAGCTGGCCTTACAACAAATGACCTTTCAAGTGATTTCTCTGTCGCAGACAAATTTCCAATGTGGGAATAAAATCATGAGCATTTTACCTCAGTTGTATGGTGGATATAAAACTCAGTCCGAGCTGTTTAAGTCAGTCGTTTTCTCGTCTTGATGTTCTGACACAATCAAACATGGTAAATATATTGTAAGTTTTAAATCTTGGTTAAAGTTCAATGACGTGAAAGATGTTAGCAACCAATAGCTTCGCCCTCTCCAGCACAAAACAGGAAGCAGCAAACCAGGTAGACAGATAACATGGAGGGGACTCTGAGGAGGCGCAAGAACATAAACAAGTCTCGGTTCTCTTGTACTGTGGATAGGGAGGAGAAACTGATGAAGATGTGGAGCGAACAAGAGTCTGTATTTAATTCAGCGTGTACCTGATCCAGTAACCAGCGAGACATCTCAATTTTTTTAAACAGTTCACCTCTCATCCCCATAGTCTCCTTCCACTAAAATAGTGCTGGTGAGCTGAGGCAACCAATTCCAAAATGTAAAGTTTGTACACAAATACAGTTTATTGACAAGAACACTGTTTAGTGTATGGTAGGCATTAGTCGTCCTCCAGGGAGATTTCCCATAACAGATGATGAGTTTGTTGATATAAATTATTAATATGACTCATTTGTGTTCCTGAAGCAGAGGTGGCGATGGAATAAGCGAGCTGTGGAGAATCACGGTCACACTGCTGCATCTCTGCTGTCGACCTGAACCTGCTTTTACCTGTAAAAGAAGACACAAACTCACACCAGAGGGGAAAGCCATTAGTTGGACTGTGTCGCCCTCTACAGGACACCAAGAAACTGACATCTTCACTACCTTCTTGTCTCAACTGTTTTTACTTTGACCATGTTTATACTCCCAGAGCTTGTGGCTCTACTCGTGTGCATTATTCCTCCCTTCCTGCTCACCGATGAAGACAATACACAACCTTATGATGCTGGCAGCGATGGCGGGGATGAAGAGGAGCCTTTGAAAGACTGACACTGAAAATGTTGCTTTTCTTTTTTGTTATTTTGCCAATCATTTTACGTCACTCTGAGTTGTGTGTCTGCCACAGACATGTAGCCATTGTATAAGTCACATGTTTCACTGCTGTGGTATGTTTGCTCATCTGTCTTAGATTTTGAGGTCACAAGTATCGTCTGCTAAAAGAACATTAAAGTAGAGAAAAAGGGTTTGCATCACAGTAATTTATTTTGGTACTTACAGAAGAATACATATGTGCAGATTTGTGGGAAATGCAGGATAGAAGGGACTTCTCCAGCTGGGGTTAAACTCACAGGTATATAGCGCTACTGTTTTACTAGAAAGTACTCCTTAAACTGAACTTTTCTTTGTGCTTTAGCAGCTCCTGATGAAGTTATGGCTGATTTTCTCCCATAACATGTTTACTCTCTTAGTGCTTTCCTCAGACATTGTGCAATTCTAATGCGTGTGTTCCTTGCAGCCAGGTTTATATTGATTTTTTTTGCGTGCTCCTGTCTTCTTAACTGTATATACTGAAAGTTTGTATATGTATAGATATGAGGAGGAGTAGAAATCCTATGATCCCACAACCCACCTTCTCTTTTTCTTTTTTTGAGGGGGATATAATGTAAGATATTGTTGTGATGTCCAAAAATTAGAATGCAACTTTTGCATTTCAAACATATCACACATCCAAGTTTTTGTAACATATATATAAATCATTTTTTTCTTTTTGTAACATTCTTTTGCATTTGTTGTGTCCTATATTACGAATCATGCACTACATGTGTCTAATATCCTCACACTGTACGTCATTTCTTTGTCAAAAGACTTCTTCTTGATGCCTTCTTCTGTGTATTTAAGCTGTAGCAAAAAGTCAACATTGTCGCCGAGTTAGAGAAAAACCTTCTATCTGTATTTTATTTCAGTTGTGTTTCAGCAGCTTCACCTTCCGAGGTTGTTGATGTAATGTTTTTAAATCGACGTGTTTACAGTGTGCTCGTGCACCTATTAGCCAGTTGAATCCATCATGCTTCTGTGACGCATCCCGAGGCTGAGTCCAAACTGTATCTGCTTCTTGGTCGTTTGCCAGGTTTTTAAAGGCTTGTAATGTTGTGTATAGGAGATGCAAATATTGCTTACTGTGCATATGTAACATATTGGACCTCTGCAATGCTGGTTCAGCTTTTACTATATACTTAATATGTGTAATTGGAAGAAAAGAAGCTTTTTGGCAGTATTTGCATAATGATGGAGACGCTTTTCCCTAAAAATTGTGCACTTTTATTTTTCCTTTGTTTTTAGTTATTTTGGTATCCCAAAATCTACTGTGCCAAGATCAACTTCTTGGCATGTTATTTTAAAGTATACTGTACATACTGGTACATATACTGAGACGTAGAGTATATAGCGTTCAAAAAAGCATAAATAATTTAACATAGACATTTATATAAAGCTGTAGGAATTATTTTTAGTCTCTTTGTTTCAATGCACACTCCTCATTTTTATATTATAACAGGAACTTTAGTATCGCGCAGTTTTATCACGCGATGTAACCACATGCTACTTTCTACCTAAAATATACAGTCGGTGGTTAGCAAGCCAGCTGGCTGAATGTGTGCCTATATATATGTAATTTCCATATGACACCTTTCATCTGTAGGAAAAACTAATTTTGTGATGTCATTTGAATCTGTGCTGCTCCAGGCACAGTCAAACAAAACAGTCCGTATCTTCCTACAAATCTTCACACTAAAGAGTCGCAAGACTTTAGACTCTGCTAGAAAGTCTGTCTGTAAAGTCAGCGGTTTGATGTTGCATAAGTATTTATAGTGGTATATTTTGCTCTTTTTTCATTTACAGAAATCTATTTTATAGCTGTATAGCTTCTTTTGTTTTACTGTACTGTTCGCTGGATTGTCCAAAAGTACGTCCTCAACGCGTGACAACATTTTTCTTTTTGTCATTTTGTCTCTCCTCTCTGGTTTTACTCGTCCCTGTGTGTGTGTCTGTTCGATATGTTTTATTCCACCAGCTTGGAAGTCAGAAAAATTCAAGTGGCTCAAAACTGTAAATTTAAAGTGTAACAATCATATAAGAAAATTAGATTTATAAATAGAACAAATACAACACTCATTGTGTGCTCAGAATAGCCTGCCTGATACTTGGTGAAGCAGAATCTATTTTCTGTACCAAGGGACCAACACATGTACAGTCTTGTAGTTTGCTCTACCTTTCACTTGCTACTGTGATAGCCTACTGTATGAATATTTAACATGAATTTATACCGACCATAATCAGAAAACATAGCTGTATTTATGACATGTAAAGACTTCTAAACATGGTGTTTTGTAATTGTTACTACAGGACAGATTATTTGTTGTTTGTTTAATGCTTTGTTTCCTTGTTTAGTCTGAATCACTATAATGACGGATCTTAAACTGTTCTAGTGACTGAGATTAGATGAATGTAAAGCGTGTGCGTGCGTGTGTGTGTGTGTGTGTGTGAGAAACTGCCGAAAAATACTTAATGTGCATTTCTGATCTCCTCACTGTGACCTGCTCTATCAATGAGAGTGTGATGAGACGAGTGTGTGCGTGCATGTGTGGGTATGCGTGTGTGTGACAGCGAGAGAGAGAGAGGGATAAACACAAAGTGATGCAGTGGACTGTTTAAAGCTGGCAAACTATTTTCATCACCAAAAAAAAATCATCAAAAACATATTTCAGCATTTTTTCCCACTTTAAAGATTCAGTTCTCATCTGTTTCATACACCAAGTCAAACTGATTCCCCTGGATATATTTACAAAGATGAAACAGAACAGACATATTATAAAGGTCATGTTGACATGAGACCGCTTCAGGTTTAACCTCCACTACATCCCTGAATGGACTGACATACTAAGAGAGTGCGAATGGGTGTGGGTGTGGGTGTGGGTGTGCATGTATGTGCATGCATGTGTGTGTCACTGTCCCATGCCGGCCAGGCGGCCACGTGTGCCACCATGCTCTGTGACTGCACAGCCGTATCAATAAATCTGGACTCAAAGGGCTCAGATCATGTCTGCCTGTCTTCATTTCTACAACACCACCACAGAGGTATGTGACATATTTAAAGGGGCACTTCGCTAATGTTACCGACAAAAGATCAGTTTCAGCCTGTTTCTTATTTCCAGGTTGTCAGATATCAATGCTTTGTCATACCCCTAGGCGTGTCATATCAACACCAAAGGCACACTTAAGCATGTTGTTTAGATACAACAGGCTTTCAGCTAACTCAAATGTAAACCCATCTCTGACAATGAGAGCAACTGACAGAGAATAAAGAGGAACAAAGGGGAGGGGTCAAACAAAACATGACCACTGAGGAAAAAAATTGGGTGTTGTCACAATATATAACAATTCTTACTTTATTTCACTGGTGTTTCCTTTCTATTCATTTAGCATTGAACCTTTTTTCTTGTTACCAAATATGTTAATTATACAGTATATATTTACGTCATTTTCATTTGCAATTTCTTGCAATGTGTTTTTTTTTGTCTAGTAGGGCGACACCGATATATCATGTAACCTGTGTCACATGACACCTACATGAGCTCTTAGATTGCACACCTGTTTCCAATACATTTCACACCCTGATGAAGACTCTCCAGTTGAAATGCATTGGTTGATCCATGTATTAATAACAGATTTTTAAGTGCAGTCAGAGCACCTCGTATGCATTTTTGGACCGCCTGTCTGCACCATGGAATTTTACACTAGTAAGCTGGCCAAAACATGACTTGACAATGGGAGTTTGTGTCTTGTGAGAAACCAAAAGACAGTGTATTTTAACATATAGTTAAAAAAATCATGTAAATCACGTGTTCATTTATGTCACAACTTAAACATAACTACTTTGACCCAAAACATGATCTTTTTTTCTAAACTTAAACAAGTAGTTTAGTCGCTTGTATCTAACTGTGACTGTTTCATATTATCCATGTGTTACCATGTGTTTCAGCTGTGCGTCACATAGAGACACCAAAGGGTGCCCCGTGTGTAGCAATAACACGTCAAGCGGCATGGCAAGATGTTGCTATTGGACGACCTGGGAATGAGAGTAAGTTGGAGCAATCAGTTACTTGTCTATATATTTCAAGCCTGTCTTAAAACAATAATCATGCGCCCATATGAGCATTGAAACAGGTTTTTCTACTTATTCAGTCTGTTTGCACTGACCATTAAAAGATGTAACTCTAATGTGCTTTCAGCATCAGTGATGAGGGTCAAAATCAGTGGTTGTTGCTTGGTGCAAAACTGTAAGAGTAGTTTAAAATTCCCTCTTTGTGTTTTCACAAACAGTGTTTCCTGTTGAGCTGCAGTGAAGGACAGAAACAAAAAGAGTGGCATTTATACTAAGAAGACTGTAACACTGGAAGATATTAACAGGTATTTCACAGTCAGACTGCTGAAGCCTCATATTAGCTTCAGATAGACCTCGTATTGCATTTTGTCCCCATCTCTTACACTGAAAGCACTCAGTATGAACAGGAGAGATAATTACAGCAAAAAAAAGCTGTCTCCATGGTTATATAAGCACCTGACTGTTGTTTTAAGATCGTATCCTTTAAAAGCAACATCACATACAGCTCAAGGTGACATCACCGAATAGCTTGCTCCATCCAACCAACACCCCAAAGTCCAGGTATTATATTTAATGTACAGAAAACAAAGGCAGCATCTGTTATCTGATTATTAAACTCACTTTGAATTGATTATGTGAATAATGGACAGTTTATTTTTATTTTTCTGTCCGTAGACTAATTGATAAAACTAATAGTCATTTCAGCATGGTGAAGGAAATTGGGTTATTTACATAATCAGTGCATAACCTAGATACATTTATTTTAATCACAGTATATATTACTTGTATAACCTATGTGTGTCCATTTTAATCAGAAGAGAATATGAAGCAAAAATGTTTAGAAAGTAAAGTAGAAGATCGTCTTCGCCTGTGCTTACCAGAGTATATGAGTAACTAAGCTCATTTATGAAACAACTTCACAGAGATTCTCTGTATAACAGGGTGCGTTACACCACTGTGCTAAAAACAAACTTGCAGAGATGAGGTGCAGACTGGCAACAGTCTCAGTTATGTAATGTAGTCTCCTTGTGTAATAGCGACTCCATGTTTTAGTAAAAGTGTATGGTGCATGATCCTATTTTTATTTTATAACGAATCACATATTCTCAGTGTCTCCTGTGTTGGTTTTAATCAGTGACCAATCAGGAGCATCCCACTCAATCAGGTGAAGCATAGCATGAAAGGCTTACAAACTGAAGCCAGAGGAGATGTTCATTGCATTCTGCATACACAGAGGTGAAACTGATATCATTCACCATGGCTCAGTTCCATTAAGCGTCCCAGTAAGCTGTTCCAGTGAGCCTGTATGCACCACACCAGGGCCTCCCCCAAATGGAATGCAGCCACCATTAACCTGTGCTTTTCCTACAATGCAATGTCAAAATGTCTGCTGTGAAAAAGGTCTATAGACCCAAATTGCACACACCCATGATGTACAGGACAGATGCATGCTGGGTGTGGGTAACATGCTAGACACTACAATGCCAGCAGTGACATCTGCAGAACTTTGACCTTCAGTGAGGAGTGTGAGGACTTTCTGCTGTTTGTGACTGGCTGAGTGGACTGGATATATTCTACTCTGAGATGAACGACTAAAGAAGTGTAAGCTGAAGCAGACTGAGGAGGATCTTGCCGTGCTCCAGACTCACATTCAGCCTCTTGGACAGGTAAGTAGCCCACAAAAACAAGCTCTTTGTTATAGTTGTAACTTTCTCAGGAGGAGAAGTAAATGTTACCTGGCAACATAGCATCATGTTTGTGTGTTTCAGGTTATTTATTTAGTCTAATGCTTGTTGCACCTGCCCAGAGGCGTAACCTAGGTAGCAGGTATTATGACGGGCCCTGGTGCATGCTAGTTACTGGTTATAAGGCACACACACACACCACTTGCAACTGTTTATGAAAAAGCTATAATTTTGGGAGCTTTGCTACTTTTTCCTCCTGTTGGTTTTGCTCTTGTCCTTCCTTACTGCCACTTTTATTTTAAAAGGCATGACTGCATGCTGCAGTATGGTCAGCTTGTCAGTCTTGACAGATTTTTTTGCACCTAAACTAGTATCATGTTGACACACGATCAAATAGAGTCTTGACATTAGACGACATTAACACAGACGTACCCAACAATAATCACTGCATATCTGTGTAGAAGAAGTAAAAGAAGATATAATTCTAATCCCTGAGGGGAAATTACATTTCTTTTCACTCTGTTGTCTTATTCACACAGACCCAAAATACACACACATGCACAAACAGGACCTATACATGCATTACATGGAGAGCTATCAGAGCAAGGGTGCTGCCTTGGACAGGTGTCCCAAGCAGCTGGGGGTTCAGTACCAGTCCACCCTCCATATTTGGTCCAGGTGGGGACTTGGACTGGCGACCCTCTGGTTCCCAACCCAAGTCCTTATGGACTGAGCTACTGCTGCAAAAATATGAAGGAAACAAGACAAGACAAGAAAATCATGATGGAGATGGGTTTGCATTTTTTAGGGCAGATATCGTAAACTCAGTGGGTCCCAGGTGCAACCACACTGCCTGCACTGTCTGTATTTACACCCCTGCACCCGCTGCAGTGTCCACTCAGCCCAGTGGTTCCCAAGTGGTCCAGCCATGGGGTCCAGCTTTCTCCCAAGTCATTAGTTTAAGGTCCACACAGTTTAATATATTCAACATCAAACTTGCATTTGGCCATGTTGGACTAGTTTTCTGTCTCTGTCAAGTAGCTGTCCTTTAGTCGCTCACTGTACAGCAGGGAACAGCACTTCAGATTAAAAGCTCTGTGCCAGAAATTCACTGTACTTCAATAGAAAAGTGTGATTTTTACAAAGTTGACATGTTTGCGAGTCACTTGCGGTCTAACAACATCAATCTCATATAGAATATACCGTATTTTACAATAGCTCATAATATAAAGATATTTAAATCTCATTAGACTGAAATTAAGAAAATACGACATCTATTAAAACTGCTACGTGAACAAAACCAGTGGTAGGTTAACAGGAAGGATTCAGGCTTTAACAGTAGGTCTTTGATAAATATTTGTTTTCAGATTTACTCACAAATAATTTAAGTGAAAAGCAAGAACAGTAACATCTCTCGCACTAGATTTAGTCCAGAACTCTTTACATTTAGTGGAAGCCAAAGCCCAGTGTGTACTCAGGTGTGTCTCACAGTCAATAATCCACTAGATGTCTCTGTTAGACTTCAAATCACACCCGAGCGCCACCAACACCACCTCTCTCAGCCTCCGAGGGCCCGCAGCACTAAAAATGAACCACCGACTTGATGTATACGATGTCACACTCCCAGGATAGTCAGTATATAGCTCTTTATCCAGCATATAGGCAGCTCTACAAACATTACACACAGAACGCATATTTATCACAAGCAGCATGCATATTCATGGGCAGGTTGATGGAGCTCGTGGAGGGATGTGTATGAGTTCTCAGCACAGCGCTGAGTGCCGAAGCAGAAGGCGAATGTTAATTCAATTATACGGCAGCTGTTCCTTGGTGCCCATGGCCACTGTGTTTGCACTAGAACAGAAATCTTGTATTAGGTCCCTCGCCATAAAAGACCATTGCCAGGCATGAAAATGGGGACTGCCTGTAACCAAAAGCCATCAACCGTATTTTAAAGAGCTTTTAATGCTTATTTTTGGCACGATTGAGGAATTTGGTGAGGCTGCAAAGTAAGATTTGTGGGTATTTTGTTTTTTGCTGTTGTTGTGGCTCACTGTTGATTTACAGAGCTTTTGTTTTTGGTCATTATTCTTTTGAATAGTCAATCTGCTTGGAAGTAAAATGTGCAAATGAGTTTCTTTTTCTGATATTAACTCCAGTCAAGGGTGGTTGGAGTATGTGTCCTGTGGTGGCTGTTCTATCATTTTCTTATGTGAATGTTTACAGATACATAAATTCTTCTCCT